CCCCAACACACACAGCTTTGCGTCCTTGCATGAGACCAGGTCACTGCTCATAGATCACGCAGTGAGGCGGAGGCAGTAAACGTGTCTTACAGTGACTGTGATAGACTAATCACTCAAATCTAAAGACAGTGCTGTCACTGGATCAGGTCACAGAACCGAAAGCCACGTAACACACACCTGTCCTCTGGCCGAACCAAATCATTACTCACAAAACTTTTCATGCGTCCGCACACATCAACACTGTGTACAAGTGTTCTGTGCACATTTATTGCTGGTCTTCTTTTATATCCGAAGGGGAAAATGAATATAAAAACTACAGCCAAGCGCAAGCAGACACAAGTACACACAACGTATGGATGCATGCGTGACAGACAGCCACAAGGTCAGAATGACAAATCAGCAATATGTGTGCATGACAGTCAGGAGACGCAGAGCAACAACACACAGTCTTTAAAACAAGTGCAACACGAATCAAAATGCAACATATAACTCTTGCAAACCAACAATACACCACATGTGTGCAGACTGACATGGAATGAGCAATACATTGGTGCAGGAGCACATGTCCTACCCGGCAGGCCAAGACAGAGCAGGACGCTGTAATAGATGACAGGTAGTGGTCCGAGGGGGCATCCCCAGGCGACCTCGGAGGGATTCTGCCCCAGGCTCCCAGTGCTCCCATTACGGGGGAAAACAGGGAAGATGTGACTGGGCTCCATGGGCTTTTTCCTTGTCCTCTTCCTCAGCTGAGCTCAGTGTCAAGAAGTCTGGCCAGGCAAGTCAAACCATAGCCGGTTTGGAAGAGAGGGTGGTCTGTCCTTAGGTGCCAATCAAAATAAGCATGTGTGCACGTTCAAAGACAAGCAAAGCCCGAGTGTGTGTTTGTGTGAGGGAAGGAGGGGGAAATAGGAAGAGATGGAGGAGGGAGAGACAACACACGAGGAGAGGCGAGAAATAATGAGTGTTAGCAGGTGATGGAGAGGAAGGCGATGAGAAGACGGGAGAGAGGGTGGAATGAGGAGGTGAGTGTGAAGGTAGAAGAGGTGAGGGGAGGATGCTGCATGAGTGTGCGAGCTGGTGGGGGGAAAGCGAGTTGAGAGGAGTGCAGCAGGGGGAGGAGGAAAGGGGAGGAGAGAGGGAGGAAAAGAGGAGGGACAAAGCGGGGCTGCAGGTGGGAGGCTGAGGAGGTGCTCGAGGAGCGAGACACAAAGAGGGAGATAATCAAACTGATGAGGAGACAGATGTGAAGGATGAGAGAAGATAAAAGGAGGGAGAAGTTGACTGTGGAGAAGGACAGAGTGCACGTTTGTTTCATGTCGGTGTCTCTTCTGTCACGAGTCTTTTCACAACTTGATTGATTAAATATTCATCAAACTGACAGTTGCTTTTGATCACAGGATAGACCATTTAAGCCCCCCCCCCCCCACACACACACACACACACACACACTGCGATCTGTGTTGCTGGTTGCAACGTGTTTTTCAGGTAAATCATTTGCGATCATCACATTTACAGTAGCTGCAGCCTGATTTGAGTCAGTTTGTCTTAGTCTCAGTTCTACTTTGACAACATTCAATCTTTGTTTTCTCTCTCCCTCATTTTTAAGTTTCTTCAGTCAGCCTCATTCACTGTAATGTGCAGACACGTGAGAAACATTTAACTGTTGCTCCTTATAAATGATGTATTTGTAAAAAATAAAAAAATCCAGAACTAATAGCAACTAATGAAATCTATGGTCTCTTGCAAATGCTTGAGGCAAAATGAGAAATTCTCATTGTAAAATAAATAAATAAATTGCATTATCACATCTTAACCAATATTTGAGTTACACCCAGAGAGACTCTGTTTGCTTTTTAAATATATTTTATGTTAAATAAAACAATGAGCACAAAAGTAATGTAAAACAATAATAAAATAATAAAAATAACTTTTCATAAGATGTATAGTCCATATTTTTTAACATGTTTTACTGGACCGAAAACAAACTATTAAGATTATTTTAAATAAATATGCTTAGGTGGACATTTGTCAAAACGAACCTTTCTTACCATTCAAACTGTGCAGATCATTAAAGATGAGCTAAATGTCATCTGCTAATTTACTGTTTCCAAGGAGACCAGAAGGTGTTGCATATTTCATAATGATATAACCCAACAAAAACACTAATTATCACCTGCTGCCGAAAGGTGAAATACACACAATAATTTTGCCTTGGTGTGTGTGTTCATCTGTTATGATAGCCAATTATCTCGTGAACTTCTGCAAGGATTTTAATGAAACTTTCAAAGAAAAGTCTTTAAATAAATATCTGCTACTGAATATGTTTTGAAATCAACACTATGTGGCCACCACAATTTATCACCCTTAATCAGCCCAAAAATGGCTAGAACTCCGTTTCCCAAATACTAAGCCATTTTTGTGTGTGCAGTAGTTTAAAGGTATTCCCGACATATAATCTGAGTGCCAACTGATGGAGCAAGCTCTTGTGTGAGATTAAGCATCATGCTATTTACAAGGTTTGACCAAAATGTCTTAAACTTTGTCATTTATCAACATTGTATGATCGTAATTTAAAAATTAACGAAGTCCATGCTCAATAATCCAGGTATACAATCCAACATTTTTCAGTCAGGTCATCTGGAATTTAAAAATGTTGCATGAAAGGCAGCGAGTGAAACACATTCCTTCAGTTAATACTATCACTTCGATTGGTTCAAAATAAAATGACTCTTAGGTGCAAAATATGCAATGGTGTCACAAAAATGGACCCAACTTTGTTGTTATACTAACACATTGCTTTTCAGATTAGTTTGACAATTTAGGTTTAAATATATATTTTTTAAAAGTGGGCCTATCTGAGATTAAAATGCATCATTTGCAGAAAATCACAATCATGTTAAAAGGCACCATTTTGACACTTCAAATGCTGTTGTTCTCATGACTACAGGAGTTTAACTATTCCTCAAGCAGGTTGTAATGTGCTGCATAAAAACAACCCATGAGGTGTTGAGTTAGAAAAAGAACAATCGCCACGCCACGTTATCTGCAGGTTGATTTTGCAGCAGATTGTTCCTGATAAAGAGTTAAAAAGATCTTCGTGTTACATGAAATAGCATCCAGAAGTGTTCTGCAGAAAAAAAGTTAAATGTGCTAATAAACTCTGTAAGACAACTGATTTCTATCATCTTAGATCTTCCTTCACATCTCGCTTTCATACCCCATAACTAATTCATATGTCATATAACTAATTCATTCTTGCCAGTGCACGGGGCTCATTACTTATTATGTAATGATTTATGTTTCAGACTGCCTCAGGCTTTCTGGATTTGCTACTTGTGCAGAAAGTCTGCATCAAAGCAGCCTTGGCATGCACACAGTCCAACATAATGTCCATTCAGAAAGCTGTCAGCTGTGCTTCCTCAGCACTATCAGAGCACATCACCTCTCCACAGGTTTGAAGAATCAGAGCCACTCTTTGCTGTCGGAGTGAGATACAATATATCACTGAAACGACATCTTTTGAGCTGTTATACAGACCTCACAGGAGGTAGAATCAAATAGTTGTACCCCCCCAAAAAAGAAAAAAGGAACAGGTTTCTTGATGAGGAAAACCAGTCATGTACAATAAAAAGCTGGAGATCACAAAAGAGGAAAATGGTTCATCTTTACACCTCAGAAGTTAATTTATGTCGTCTTGATCTTTTATGAGCTAGCCACTGTCTGAGATGAAGAACTGATCACAGAAACTGCCCCGGTAATGAATGGCCTTTTTTCGCCACTTGAATTAGACGTGGGAACGAGCGAGTGGAGTGGAAAGGAGCAATCACATGCTCCTAAATCTTTTCTCCAACATGTGAGCAAATGAGCTGCAGGGGACATGGGAAGGGGAGAACAACAATTATGTGTTAAATAAAATATAGCCAGATGACGTGAATTGATCACAGAGAAATGCCGAACAGAAAAAAGTGATTCTTCAAAAGTGGCTGCGAGCTGTAAAAGACCCCCTCAAGGGTAGAGCCTGCCTGCTTTTCGGCACCAGTTTAAGACTTAAAACCTTCATACACCAATATCTGTAACTGCAAGCTTCATGATATTATGGCAAATTGTCATGGTCAGCATGGCGTTGAACTCAAATGCAAATAGACACAGGGGACTCGAAGATAAATAAAGAATATATTTTTATCAAACAAAAAACTCAAATCAAAAGCTGACGAGGCAGCAGAACTTACGAGGAACAGAACATGACAGGGACACTAACGAGACATGATGACGTGGGGAAAGACGACGAGGAACAGGTGAGAGTTGCAGGAATGAGGAGAGAAACACTGGGGGGAAAGAAAAAAAAAACACTGGGGGAACTGGAAACACAGGATCAGAGAACCACACAAAAATAATCAAAAGTAGGCCTGTCGCAATAAACAATAAATCAATCACATGCTAAATGAAAATTATCAACCTCATTTTCATTTATTGGCTTTATCGTTTCTTTGTGTCTCTCTCTTTCTACTGAAGACACTGGGTGACAAAAAGCTCAACTTTGGTGTTCTTCCCTGACCCCTCCCTTTTTCTTTAAAATCTACTTTATCCGTCAAAAAATCACGTTTTTGGATCGTTAAAAGCAACTAAGCTGAAAAGCTAAGCTACAAGCTAAGCTAACAGGCCGACCTCAAGAAAAAAAACCTCTGTCTTGTCAAAGCTCCAAAATTCACGGTTGAAACCCGTGCCTTCATGTAAAAAGTTGTTTTTCTCTGCAAAAAGAAGCTGAGAACTTGTTTACAATTTTTTTTTTTATTAAAAGCTTTGTGTGAAAAATGCCATGCTAAAGAGCTCAAACCACATCAAGTGTTCGCCAGAGATACGCTGCTCGCTCCCTCACTATCCATCCTTTGGTTCAGTCTTATACTGCCATCCGGTGGTCAAAAAAGATACTACATTCAAAACAAATTAACCAACATTTCTTCATAAATTTGACAATAATTAGTCATTATTGTCAAATTTCAAACAATATTATCATTTATCGCAATAATTTCTGAGTCAATGGCCCAGCAAAATTTGTTATCATGACAGGTCTAATCACATGTAGACACAGACATCACAAAACACGCAAACATGACAGTAAATTATACTGATGTGATAATAAAAATATTACTTTGATTTGCGAGATATTCCAGCAAGAAGATTCATAGTTTCATGATTTGAATACTGCTTTGATTTCCTACCTCGGTGTGAAATATTTACTTCATAATTGTTCACCTGTGCGTGCCCACCACCGGTTTATCAGATGGTTGAGTAAGTAGGATGGAGAAGGAGGTCTGAAGCATCCTGTGCAACTTTGTGGAGGAGTTTCCAGCAGCTGGGGAAAGATGGAGCCATTTAGACCCATCCATCCATCCACCCGCTTATTCCATTTTGGGTCACCGGGGTCGCTGGTGCCCATGTCCAGCAATCACTGTGCGAGGGGCGGGGTACACCCTGGACGGGTCGCAAGTCCATCACAGGGCCACATAGAGACAAACGAGACAAACAAACATTCACTCTGTCACTCACACCTAGGGACAATTTAGAGTTACCAATCAGCCTAACATGCATGTTTTTGGACTGTGGGAGGAAACCGGAGTACCCGGAGAAAACCCACACATGCACGGAGAGAACATGCAAACTCCACCCAGAAAGGCCCCTGGACCGGGGTTTGAACCAAGGACCTGCTCGCTGAGAGGCA